TTGGCTGCTGTCTGTGCCCCTGTCCTGCAATGACAAAATAAACACTGCTTCATGAAAACATCACAGGCTGGTCTAATAAACAAGCATGACCTTTATTGATTGTTTGCCAGCCTGCTCTGTTGACATGAAGTATAACCTGATTTAAACGCATATCTGCCCAGTAACACCAGATTGGAGTTACTGGGCAGTCATGGGATGGTCACCTATAAAGTGAAAGAATATATATATATATTCATCACAGCTGCATTAGTTCAATGAAAGATTTAAACAGTAAATCTTATTTTAAGGCATTGGACTTTAAGCAGGAAGCGAGCTAATGTTTACTTACAAAATACCAGCACGGAGACGATTAAATATGTGACGGAAACTTTGAAGAGCTTGGAAACAATGCTTTAAAAAACTGCTGCTAGGTAAACAAACTTGAGGAAGTGAATTCACTTTAGGAAATAAGTAATCATACCTAATGTATTATTAACTCTGAGCTTGTAGGGAGCCCCTTCAGTCCATTTATTTTGACTTAAAAACAACGAATGATTTTCTTATCATCGGTGAAAACGTATGCTTTTTTTTTAAAAATAGAAGTGTTTGCTTTGTTTTTTGTTTTTTGCTTGCAGCGCAAAATTTGCTTATATGATGGGCCTGCCCCGGCTGTGTCCTTGGAAATGTCTTCTCTTACGTAGCTCGTTACATTTTCCTTCCTTTTTCTTTTATTGATTCTTTTTATTGAACCATATTAATAAACTATAGAGCAACACAAGGTGCTTTGATTAGAAAGCCACCTTTAAAGCTCCCCATGGCCTCTTGCACAACTAACAACATATTCCCTCAGCGAGACTCTCAGATTAATATAAACATTTAATTTTATGTAAAAGGTTAAAGGAAATCAGACAATTTATTAATGCAGAATCTCTGACTATCGCTTTTGTTCTGCATGATAACATGACAGCGCAGTTTTAGCACTGACCCACTTTAGGATCAGCTGATGACTGCGCAAGAAGTAAACATAGAGCCGCAGAGGGACTTTGCGACAAATCTGCACCAAAGCTGCAGCGACACTCTTCCTACATTTTGCAGATTTATTTTGATTTCCATTGCAAAGGAAACTCTTACTCAACGCATTTCCCCCCCAAAAAAATTAAGCTCCAACCACTTTACAGCTGCAGTGCGTCACGTAGGAAAACAAGGCGGATTTAAACGCACCGCTAATGCGCAGCTTACCTACAATTAGAGGTTTTAAAGTTGAGTCTCTTCTTGTTAGAAAACACTTGTGTTCTGTTCAAGAAGACGTCTGGTCTGTGTGCTGCAGTCTGACCTTGTTTACATATCAGACTGGGAATCGGCTGCTCGGGAAAGCTCGGTTTCCTCCGGGAGTGACGCAGCGCCTCTCCATAGGCACAGCCCTGAGTCATGCTGGGTAATTACAATAATGCCCACACAGCAGAATGATTGCAAACGTCTTCATCTGTCAATTTATGGGGATGATTCAAAAATAGTTGTGTTGATATAAAAATGCTGTTTCAAGGTCTGTCATTTCAAAAGACTGTTTTAGCTGTTTATATGATTATGAAGTCAGAGGCGCAGCCAGTAACATTTTTATAAGGGTGGCCAGGCAATAACCAATGTACACTGAGGGGTGGCCAAAAGTTGATAGGCGACAGAACTTCATGGTCAATCTAATGAGCAAAACATCCATAATTTCTAAATAAAGACAAACTATCCTTTCCCAAAGCCTTTCCAAACAAACTGTCAGAATTTGGTTGTGGTTTGAGGACCCAAATGCAGAGGCAGGGAGGCACAGGTGAGTTTCTTGCAGATCTAATGAAATGTTTTCAAACAACAGAGGCAGGAATCCAAAAGTCCAAAAATCAAAACATGGGGAAAAATAGTCAAACAAACCAGAAACCAATTAAGTGTTTTCAAAAAACTGAAGCAGGAATCCAATAATCAAAACATGAAAACAAAGTCAAACAAACCAGAAACCATGGAGACATCAGGGGAAAAACAATCATGACAAGGAAGACTCAGAGGCTACGTTCACACTGCAGGATGAAGTGACCTAAATCCGATTTTTTTTTTGCCCATATGCGACCTGTATCTGATCTTTGCATGGCAGTCTGAACAACACAGATCCAATTTTTTCCAATCCGACCCATGCCACTTGGCTATGTGGTCCTGAATCTGATACAAACCTGATGTTTTCAAATGCGACCTGTGTCTGAACGGCCAGGTGGGATTCATCTGACCTGAACGTCATCAATACCCGACAAAGGTCACTGTTCTGCGTCTTGCTACAAAGAAGCAGCAAGAAAACCAACAACCATGGCAGATAATGATGTGGAGAGCAGTATTTATGTTTAACCATATTGAAAAGATTGTGTTTTTATGGTTGGAAAAGACCGCTAGATGCGCTCCGGCACTACCATCCATGTTTGCTTCCGGAAAAAAAGAGCACACTGGCCTGTCACATCATTGCGTCCTCTACTGCAGCGGCCCCCAACCACCGGGCCGCGGACCGGTACCGGTCCGTGGGTCATTTGGTAGCGGGCTGCACAGAAAGAAGTATATATATATAATTTATCGACGATCAGAGTCTGAGTGATGTTTTATTTTGAAAAATATAAAAAATTGCGGCATTCTCTCCCAATTACATCAGTTGGTGCATCTGTGCCTCTTGACACAGGTTAATTCAGTTCAAGACTCATCCTATTTATAACATCTTATCTTTGTGAAGCGGGATTTTATGCGGTTACAGCGACCAAAACAAAGCTACGGAGCAGACTGGACATCAGGAGTACACTTCCTCTGTCATTTTCTTAGATTACGCCTAGATGGGACCGGCTTGTTGTTTTATTTTTATGCTGTTTGTATTTGATTTTATGCCAGTCGTATCATTTTACTTGATCGACCCTGGCCGGTCCGTGGAAATATTGTCTGACATACAGCGGTCCGTGGTGCAAAAAAGGTTGGGGACCGCTGCTCTACTGCACATGCAGGACACTTGCATTGTATGACTGCCGTTCACAGAGAAGATCACATACAAGTCGCATATATTTGGAAATATGAACGAAAATGCAAAAAATCGGATTTCGGAAAAAAATCGGAATTGAGCATCAAGTAGTGCATGACTTAAAAGCAGTAGGATGAAAGGAATGTTCTAAATTACCTGAGAATTATAAGTTGACAGGTATGGCATGTATTTGCAATAAACTGATCCAAACTGTGAGTAAATATTTTGTAGAACAAATATGCCTCGTAGAATCAAATTCTAGGATTATGTGTATCAGTTTTGTAAATATCAAATATGTATCCTTTTTTCTTTCTTTGTTTGTCTTTCTACGAATTTTCAATTGCATTTAGATCTGGACTTTGACTAGGCCATTTCAACACACAATTAAACCATTCCATTGTTGTCTTGCTTATGTGTATTTTTCTCAGTCTATCATCACAGTCCAAATTTATTAAAATCACCCCTGATGCTGTCTCCACCATCTACCCTGAAAGACATAATAAGTCCAAGATAATATACAGAGTTCATTTTCTGCCACACATTACACCCATTCTGGCCAAGTTAGATTAGTTTCTGTCTTTACTGGTTAAGAACAAACTGCAGAAATTATTTCATAGTATATTTATATTTGTGCCAAAGTCCTTCTGTTTAAGATGATGAACAGTTATCTGTACAATTTCCAACACTTGAAATATTGTCCTATAAGCTAACTTAATCTTTTCTATCACTGGCCTGTGTTGCATGTTGCACAATAATGACTTCATATTATTGTGTTTGTAAACAAGTTTTTGGGTTTTTTCCCCAGCTTTTTTTGTCATTACACTGTCACAAGTACAGAGCTATGAAATGAAGGTTGTGCATTTAACCCATTCCCTTGTGGTGCAATGGGCTGCCATTGTTTGAAACCCAGTGAGCAGTGTGGAGTTAAAGGTCTTTTCCCCAGGGAGCCAGGGTGGCAGTCTGTGGGAGTGGGGGTCAAACTCACAACCTCAGGATTCCAAGCTCTATTCCCTAACCACTATAGGCCGCCACTCCCCTCTGAAGCTTTGCCAAACAGCTGGATAACGAGCTACATGGATTTAAATAAACGTGTGACTTTTTTTCAGAGATAAAGTAAAAATGGCTTATTGCAAGCCACACATTTGAGATTTTTATTTCTAATGATTTGAATCTAGCCTTAGGAAAGGCTGCCTCAGTAATCCACTCTAGTTGGTCCAAGTAGTGAGACATCTGCTGGTCACTTTGTGTAACTGCCATTGTTGAGCTGAAGCTGTCAGGATCTGGACAAATCTCTCTAGTAATCAAACTCATTAAAAAAATACAACTGTAAACTCATCAAAAATAGACCCATATCATTAATCTTCATTCAACACTGCTTATAATTTCTTTGCCACTAAACTAACAATAGCTGTAGACTTAGAAAAGGGAATTGATGTGTTTTGTAGCGCTGTGGCAACTTCCTGTTACATATAAGGACCCATCGACCAGTCCAACACTGCTTTAAAGACAACCAGCTGAAACATAGGTATAAAGACAGAGATGGTACAGCTAATGGCAGAACTGCAGTTCTTGACCTCCAGGCACCATTTCTGAAGTATCGATGAATGCAATATGCAAAATGGGGCAAATTTGAATCCTTTTAAACTGGAATTGGATTTTTCTGTATCATATAAAGCCATTGTAAAGATAATTGCACTGTTTTTTGAATAAGAAGTAAAAAGATGTATTCAATTAACATACAAAAAAGAAATAATCTGCTGCCCCTTGTTTATATGATTGCACCGATCTACATGTATATAAATATTAAATATATTTTCCAAAATTGTACTGCATTACATTTTGTTTTGTTTCTAATAGTGAAACAATAACTGGAAATAGAAGAGGAGGAGAAAGCTGGATTTTACTAACAAATCTCGATACACTTTCATTCAGCTTTTAAAAAGACATGCTTTGGTCTATTTTTTTTTAATCAGATCAAACTTAATCATGTATATCAAACAGTAACATAATGCAATGTTTAATTCCTCCTGTTTTTTTACAGTCATGACAAAAATAATGTGCTCATCAATAAATATAGTACAGGATAAATGCAAAATTCATCCGAAGCCATGAATTCACAGTAAGGTAAGTGAAAATGCTTTTAAAAAAAATACTGAATAAAAATTCTGTGTGTTTAGCACCCTTTCTCTCTCTGTGTTGGTTCACTAAATCAACAAATATCTGCTTTACACAACATAAAAGAAAATCATGATCATTAAGTGTGTACTTGGTAATTGAAATAAGGCGAGACAGAAACCAAAACAGTTTTATAGGAAACCCACTTCACTGTGATCTACAAAGTGAAGAGAGATTCGGTTTTTTTGGCAGGTTTCAGTCTTCCTGTTGCATCCTTTCATTCTTAAAGATGTCCCAGCCACCTTAGTTTATGAATACTCATCCCATTAGCTTCAGCTTGGTGTAAAAAAAAAAGTCTGTTTAACTGGATGTTCTTCTGTGTAGATAGGGTGCAGCTCCTCTTTGGGTTGCTTTTTGGCTTAGTTTGAGGTATCTGGATCAGAAAGTTCTGCAAGGGGAGGATAAAGAGCTTCCCTTCACATCCATTGGCTAGTTGGAGGACTTGTTCCACATCATACAGGAAGTAGATCGGTGCTGTGTGTGGAGTAACCTGGGCTGGTATTAACTGTCTGAGGAGAGGGGACGTCCAGGCTCGGTGACAGGATGTTGTAGGGCAGCTCCACAGACTGACGGATGCTCTCTTCATATGAAGGAGGAGACTGTATCAATCACAAACAACATGGAGGTAAGCTTAGAATACATTTCAGTAGGTATTTGTTTCTTTCTTCACAGATCCATATTTCATTAATGAAACCTGTCCATTCTAATGCCAAATGCAACTCTTAGTTAATGAGTTAATATTTGTGACAGGATATGTGAAAGAGGGAAGAAAATCTTCTTGAATATTTGCTAAGCCTTAAATTTTGGATTTATTTGCCCCTAATAATAAGACGAAGTTGAGTTTTAACTCATCTGAGTTAAACTGTGGTTCAACGGCTAACACATTTATGAACACAGAATCTAATAAACATGTTTGTCTTTACTTTTGCTGCAATATATTTACTGTAAGTTTCTTTACTTGTAGTTTTAACCCTATGATTTCTATTGTTGCAAATATGCAACAAACCCTTTGTATTATGCACACAACCAAGACAGCGTGTGCATTCCCCCAGTGAGAGTTTATTACACATTAAGTGTGGACCTTGGACCCTTTGAAAAGCAACTGGTCCCTAACGGTGTTTGTTATTAGCGACCGTTATTCAATGCAATTCATATAGCATTGAATAAATATATATATATTTATAGATAAAATAAATATATATTTATTTTAGCTACAATTCAAAACACATGTGATCTTAAGGAGTTTTAGTTATAAATGTCACAAATTTGTAATATACTTAAATTTCAATTCTTTTTTCAAAATAAATAGAAGGCTTAGAAATTTCAATCTAGCAACTAGTTAAGTTGTTTTCTTTACATAAATATGCATATTAATTGAGGGGGCAGGGGCTTAAAACTCTAACCCCACTATGGACTCATCAGCAGAACAATGTTTATCTACTTGATAAATGCAATTCTGTCTCTGTTTTCCAGATATTCCAGTTATCATTAAGTCAGACATGGAAGAGATTATACGTTTACGTGCAAGTACATGTCAAAAGTGTGTGTTTCTAACTATGATCAACTGTATTTTTGTTTTAAGGTGAATTTTAATGGGCCATCCTGTTTCTTGGTGTCAGATTAGGATGTCAGTGTTTTATGATCACCAGTAGATCCGAAAAATAAAACTGATTTAGATCTTTGGCTGATCGATCAGCTGCATCAGTAATGGACTAGGCTTTAGGGTTTCAATTTATTGGCAGGTAATTAAACTAAAACCTTTTACAAAAAAGGAAGATGTTGTTGAACCCATTACAAAAGAAAAAAAAAACATAAAAAGCAATTTCCACCAGTTTCCTGGTCATATAGAAGGGCTTTTTGTAAAACTCTGGACCAACGTTCCTGTTTCTGTAAAGACAGCTGTTAACCTGAATAATTTTAGGTTTATTTTAATTTAATTACAGCTCAGCAGATATGTAATTCATTGATGACAGCACTATTATTTTCTTATTTAATGTTTTTAATTATTCTCCTCTTTTTCTACTTATTTTTAACCTTAGATGTCTGTGTGATATTAGTCATTTGTATGTTTTTGTTACCTCTAACCTCCTAGACTTGTACAGCACTTTGGTTGTGTGCATAAAGGCGTGTAAAGTATTCAATAAATAAATGTTGATCAATTTGCATTTTTAGTTAAATTTGATACTTTAAATATTAAAAGGCCAAAAAAACTTGGTGGAAAATTGCTTTTTTTTCTACACTTAAGCCCATTTAACAGCATATTAACAGTTAAGTGCAAGTCTGTAGAGTCAGCAGAGTAGTATGATTTTCAGCATCCATCCACTGTTCTCGTGTTTCCCATAAAACACCAGAACACAGGCCTATATATAAGTGCCACATATTCCAAATATATTTTGGACTGTTTGGTTGTTTTGGTTGCTTCAGGCTAACATGGTGTACACATGGATTTCTCACTTTTGTTGGTTTGTAGGCATAAAGCTGTAAGTAATGGATTAGATGCAGCTGCTGGACCCAGTCATGTTGTAAACTTTTGTGACCCGTGTTTAAAAAAAGGATTTATAGAAAACCATGCAGCCTACAGGGTTTGAAACCTTTTTCTAAAGAATAAAAGGAGGATGTTTGTATTTACATTTCCAATTAATCTGGTCCCACTTCAGCCGGCTGGAACATTTCTTCCCTTCATTATCTGTCTGATAAAATCGAGCAGATTCACGCTCCCTAACTGAGTCCTCTTATCTTTTAATTGCTCGGGGACCCTCAGGCAACACGAGCAACCCGATGCACTGCGCTCTGTCTCACACCACACACATAGGTGCTTTAGGCTGCAGATGCTTAAATGCTGTCCTGCCTCAGGCTGCAGGGCAGATGGGGGACAATGAGCGGGCATCACTATCTGAATTCACTCTCTTATTAAGCCCTCAAAAAGAGGGAGGGCCTCTTGCTGTTTATTGACCATCAGTGGGATGAGCAAAAGGCAGCCGCTGTTAGCCTGCTTTCATGTGTGTGTCATGTTAAGGAGTGTTTGATTAAGAAACAAGGAGGGAAGGTCAGAGAAGAGGACAAGAGCACAAAGCTGCATTCTTAGCTGCTGTTTGCACTCATAGATTCAGCCTCTAATGATGTTTGATGTGCCTTTTTCTCATTACCTTGTTTGCTCAAGCGTTTTATGAACCCAAGGCTCAGCAAAAGATCAACAAGGTAAAATGTCGAAAGTGTCAACACGATGCAGCGACATGCTTCAGAGGAGCTGATAGCGCATCCTGATTACCCAGATCCCACTGCAGTCGAAGCTAAACACAATTATCTGCCAGTGAAACAATCCTAGATAAAACCTACTTAAAATCGCTGTATTTATTACAAACTAGATATTAAGCAGGTTTTGCGTAATAGAAGAGCAACAACTATCTCCAAATGTCTGAAGCGCTTCATTGTCGCAGCATCTGTGACTGTATCAGTTGCTTTGATAATTTACTCTACCTCTGTAACAATGGGTCCATTGAGGCCAAAGCGGTCAGCAATCATCATGTGGATTTGCCTCTGGCGGTCCTTCTTTCGGACGCTTTCGTAGGAGGGGAGCCTCGGCAGGGGGGCCTCCATGGTGGGCAGGCTGTAAGTGGAGGGCAAGCCAACGTAGAAAACCTCATCTGACAACTATAGAAGACACTAGACACTTTAGTACGTACTGACTTTATAAAGAAATGCATTCCTTATTAGTAATATGGCTGCAGAGGGATGAGGATTACCCGGGTGTTGCCGTCATCAGAGATCTGAGTCTGCTCCAAACACGGAGATCCAACCAGAGTCTGTCTGCTGCTGTAGTACTGAGGGGGAGCGTCCTAAAACAAACAGCAGAGAGTTCACAAGATGCTGTTTTCTTCACCTTAAACTGCATCTGCACAAGCATTCATCACAGTTGTGTTTTTCCACATTGAGTCACATTACAGCTAGAAAACATCAAGGTTGTGTTCATGGATTCTCATGTGAGAGAACAATGCAGAGCAGAGGATAAATGTAAGTTAGAAGGAATATTATAAAGGGTTTTTTTTTAATAATCTGCCATCAATTTGTATTCTAGCTTCCTTACTGAGATACTAAATAAGATAAAGCAGAATAAATTGAATCCAGTCTTATGTTATATTTTGTGATTGTAGACATTTATATCTTGCCTATGCTGCTCCTATTTTAAATACCTTTAAATTATGTTAATATAATTTTTTGGGATTTATCACTGTTTTTTTTTGTTTTGTTTTTTGCTCACCAAAGCAAACAAAATAAACCTTTCTGTCCTTGCCCTGACTAATTTGTAAACAAGGTCAATGAGACTGGAACGTGACAAACTGAACAAGCGCTTCTCAACAGAGCAGCTCTGACAACCATGAGTCCTTTTTAGGCAAGCATTTGAAGAATTGATGCCTTTTTGGAAAAGTTTCTAGAAGAAAACATAAACAGCCTATGTGGAAGAAGAGGACTAAACCAAAAAGCTAACTTTTAGACCCATATGTAAAATGTTACACCCTGAACAAATCTTTTTCACAGTAAAACATGTCAGTGGCATCATCATGCTATGGGGGTGCTTTTCTTGAGCATTCACAGGGGTTTACACACTGAAAAAACGATCTAGAAACAAGTAAAGATTTCTTAAATTAAATGTATTTACCCTTAATTTGAGTATGCAAGTAAGATGATTTGACGAAAGAATGAGTGTTTTGACTCCTAAAATAAGATATTTAGAAAATATGTACCTGAGATAAGATCAATGCAATTTCTTTCTTATTTTAAGTGTAAATTGTCTTGTTCCATTGGCAAAGTGTCTCACTTCCCTACTCAATTCAAGAACAAATTCACTTATTTTAAGAAAAAATACTTTCCATTTCAATTTTTTGCAGTGCAGGAGATTTTCGGAAGCTGTAAAAGACCAAAAACCTGTTAGATATGGCAACGACCTTAAAAGCACCGCCTGAGATACAGTTTGAAGGTTTAAAGCCACCACTTAAAAGTGCTTTATCACAATCCAGAGTGAAATATAACTGATCATTTTCTGCAGGATTTGAAAATAGGTCTACCCAGATGCTCCGCCTGCGTTCTGACTCAGCTTTAACTGTTCTACAAAGAAGAATAAACAAATATGTTAAAATTATTGTGCAAAAAATTAGCAACCTTATGTTTGTTAATCACACAAAATACCAATAAGATGTTTACAATGTGACCAACAAAAGGTGTAAACCCTTTAAATGGGGCTTTGTATTCTAACAGACAATCAATGTTGTAGTTAGCCCATCTGTAACTAGACAGAGATCCCCTAACTTCAGCTCAATTTACCGATTTTCATGCCTTGTTTCATCTCTGTGGGTCCTGGATGTGTTAGCAGCACCATAAATTATTAGAACAATAAGGTGACAACACGACCACCCTCTGATTTCCGTATCTCCTAAGTCTCCAACCCCCTCTATTAAACAACAAGCCACATTACTGCCTCACTGTATGTGGTGCCGGGATGCAGAAAGAGGCTGACAGAAAAACGAGTTAATTGCCTCGTTACTAAATGAGTGTCCTTTGAGAGGAGAACAATGTGATGCACTCCTGTGTCACAAGGGTCCAAGAGGTCTTTTCAGTGTTCTCCTTGTAGCTGCAGCAGGTACCTGTTAATAAGCACACTCCAGTGCACATTATAACCCCACAGGTCGTCGTTATATAAATGTCAAATTGTTGCTTGGATGAGAAGCACATCAGAACAAAAAGTTTCTCTCTTTCTTAAATTGATAATTTTTCCCGAGGGCTGGTTAAACTATCACTTTTCTCACACTTGAAAGTGACGCACAGAAGCGACCTTTGCCACGACCCCTCGCAAGAAATAGAGGACACTCGAGAAGGTGATGCCAGAGGTCTCCTTTCCCCCCCATTGGTTTGTACTTTAAAGAAGCAAAAGAGCGTCCTCAGGAAAGACAGAAAAAAGAAAAGAAGGTTTGTCCTTTTGTCGCCTGCCATTGATTCAGCCAGTGTGAAAAAGCACAACCGTGTAAAATCGGCGTTGAAGTCGGGGGAGGATCCCAGCAACTGCGCGTTTTTTTTTTTTTTTTTTTTTTCAATTGCTTGCAACTAAAGGAGATCTTTTGTCTCTGTTGTGTCCCCAACACCCACACAGTGGCCTGTCTCCCATTCATGGCTGCAAAGTGAAGCAGGGAAAGGTATGTGACTATGAAGTTGAAGACGTGAAACATCCCTCTGAAACTCAATGAAGGAGGGCTTCTCCTTGTTTGCCAAGTTTGCTTGAAATTCCAACCAAACGTATGTTTTTTAATCTTGAGCAGAGGAACAATATTTATGAAGGAAAATAGATAATAAGTTAAAACTACACATCATAAAAATCAGCCTGTCTCACCCGCTGTTTGGACTCGGAAAAAGGCCCCTTGGTTCTTTAAACTTGGCGGCAAGTCTATCTAATCCAAACCACAGCTGAGCACAACTTCCTGTCTGTTGAGGGAGGGGGATATGTGCTTGTGTCCCTGCAGTCTGAAGATAACAGCTAAACCTCCCCCTGGGACTGATGGAGATGAGAACCAAGTCAGGAAACAGGAAATGGAGAGAATGGATGACCAGTGAACAGTTACCATCTATGAACTGTTTTTAGTTTTACCCATAATCTCATCCTGTACCAAGCTTCATGGGAAATCAAGGCTCCTACCCTTTTGCAAAGCTTCTCATGCAAATTTTTTTTCATTGTTTCCACATTAGCGCCTCAATTTTCTGCATTCTTCAAGATGATCTTTCAAGGTAGACCAGCAATACTTGTAAAGGGGAAAAGGGAAATTATATTTATTGATTTTCATAATTTGAAAAATCAAATCTGAGCCAGTTTAGCTTAATGTTTCAAAGAGCCACCTGTAGTCCAATTACAGCTGTCCGTGTTGTCACTGTCAATGCAAGCTTCACACATCTAGAGATTTTGCTTCTACGATTTTATTGTATTTTATTATTATTTTGTTGCAAAGGGGCTCCAGCTCAAGTAGACTGGTTGGTTGTCTGTGAATATCAGATTTCAGTTTCGCTGCAACTTTGCGCCATTCCAACATAATTTACTAAAAGCTTTGTTTTGCATGACTAGCATCAGTTTCCTGTCAGAGGGTACCTTACTTCTTCTAACAGGGTTTTCCCTGGATGTAGCTCTACCCATCATCTGACCCATTTGTCTATCTCTGCTAAAAAAAAAAAAAAAAAACTGTCCCACAACATAACGCTGCCATCTTCACATTTTACACTAGGGTTCACTTGTTTAAGGCCAAGAGCATTGCTAGTAAAATCCTTCATATTGCTGCTGTTTAATCCTTCATATTGCTGCCGTTTATTTTACAAAGCTAAAAAAAAATAATTACAATAATGATTTCCTGCCATAGATTTGTTTGTTGTACCATAATCTTTTCATGTTTAGATAAGAGCACTTGGAATGTTCCTTTATAACATTACGCTGCTTTAAAAGCGTTCACAACTCCCTAAACTCTCTTTTTATGGCGTTGTATTCGATACTACATGTGGAAAATGTATTAAATATTTAATTTACAACCTTAGATCTACAGACATGGAGAAACACTTAACATGTAAAGCATTAGTTTCTGTTGTTTCGCATGCCGTGTCAGTGTGAGAGCATAAAAAAGTGTGAATTGCTCAGATTTAATTACATTGGTGCCGAAGTTGCATCAGTATGCATGGTAAGTGCTAATTCTGTCCAATTCCATTAGAATCACTGTGACTCTCTGAGATATTTCTGGAGGGCAGCTAATTCAAACTGAGGCGAATCCATTGCAGCACAACGATCATATCAGGCTTATTCAGTCCTTTCGCCACAGCCAGGCAAAAACTTAATCTGACACTTGTTAATGGTGCTGCACACACACTTCTTTCTGTCAGCGTGTCCTGCAGGACCGAACGTACGGATCACCTTCAAAAGAAAGCTCAGCACAAAGGAAACTTTGTCTCCCCATGGCTTTCTCTTCCTCCCTGAACAACTCACCATATCTGCATGTGGGTCCTGATAGGAGCCGTGTTTGCAGCAGTGGGGATCTTTGCGGTAAATAATGGAAAGCAGCACGATGACAACAAAAAAGAACACCAGAGAAGAAACTGTTTTGAAAAGAGAGAAAGGAAAGTAATTAATTGGTAGTACCTGCTTGTTTATGAAAACACAATATAGTCTATTTTTTTTTAGTTTTAATGAGAAGGAATAAACATCTACTAACGTTTTATTTAGAGATGAACCTAACGATCATACATAAATCAAAACCAAAAAATTTAATGCGTCTGTTTATTTAATGCATCAGAAATAAGAGCCTTAATCTTTTCTTTTTGTGTTTTGATTTTTCAGGGAGAATAAAAATCACAGGTGGCACAGCAAAATATGGCAGAACTTTTACAGAACTTTGAGGTTACTTTCTGGGACTTTAATAATTTTCCAGAACATAATGATTCATTTTCCAAAACTTTAACGTTTCTTATTTTCTTTACTTTTCTGCAACATACCGATAACTTGCTAATAAATGTAAGAAGTATTTTCCCCCAAAAAATTGCAGGCACTTCCAGATTTTTATTATACTTTTTGGAAAATATCTTCATGGTGTGGCAAAGTAGCAAAAATAGAATCAGAGCCTTTTGTTTTCTCATCATGATTTATACTAGAGTATCCTTCTCAGTAGTTAGAAATGTAACATATTTACCAAGCCAGACATCTAATTAATGCATAATTAATAGTAATCTTGTTATTATTTTATATTATGTCAGATTCAAAACTGCTTTATCTATCAAAATGCATAACATTTCCATCTTTCATCTCTTATTTTCATTCAGGAAAATTACACCTCAAAGCAGAAATTGGTGCCATTCAGGGATATCTCGATTAAACCTTTCTGTTATTTCCTTTAGGGAAGTGTTTTTTTTCTACTATTACTAACAATCAAACACAATGTAATTTGAGGAAAATGTCATGGCAAGATGGCTTTGATTGAAAAAAAGAAAAGAAACAAAAACAAAACAAAACTCGCAGGCAGCACCTAAAAATCTTGAAAAATGAAAAACAAATGAAAATATACTCACAAACACAACTAATCCCGGAGACCAGTGTTGTTTTTTCTTGGAAGTGTTTATAAAAAGTCAAGAACAAGAAGAAAATCAAACAGGATAGGGGATGATAATTGTTTACTTACAGGAGGCAGCGAGCACAGTGAGCTGATCCGGGGTCAGTGAGGAGGGAATGGTCGGACTTGCATTTGTGGACATTTCCTCTACCTGAAAGTTTAAAGTTGCTTTTAAAAATCTTTCCGGAGTCGCCAGCCTCAGTGCAAAGACTCTCATCTTACACCTCCAGAAAAGCGAGAAAACTAATTCAATTCAGAGCCTCCTCTCCATGACTCCTCTTCCTCCGCTCTGAACACATGCGCTCTGGGAGTCGGACGCAGCAGCGTTTAAGGAGCGCGTAAAGGCGCACTGACTGACGCCCTCTGCGTGACACGATCCAAGGCTGTCTTTACTCACTGACACATCAGACATTTGATTCAGGGAATACTGGCTTAGATTTGTGTCTGTGTGCACGTCAGATTACTGGGGTATAACTTGTATAATTCAGCTGCTTCCTTCACCACTTTAATAAATGGCATCCAGACTCTAGTTTAACACACTACATGCTTGAGCCTGAGTCCTGTTGCCCCGGAGACGGTGGGGGTCCTACCCTGAGGGGACTTCTAAGCAGACAAAGAGCAAAAATGCCTGGTATTCATAGATGGATTTCCATCAAAGCAGTTGAGCTACTCGTTTAGTTATTAATTAGAAAATATGAATTAAAGATGTAGAATCTTACATTGGAGTAACAATTTAGAGACATTATCTGCTTAAAAACCAAAGATTGTAGATTTTTCATTATATCCATATGCACTGGAAAAAGTATAACCTCAAACTAAAAAAAAATGATGTCCAGATATCACATCTAAAATATTTGACTTCACAGAATCTGAATTTAATCGCTTGTTATATATTATGATGATGTAAACAATAATTCTGCACTTGACACAACTTAAAAACTTTGCCCTGCTCCAAATGATTTTCTGAACATTTCAGTTAATGAACCAAACTAATATATTGAAATTCAAACAACCTAATGCACTTATTTTTAATTAAATTAACAAGGATTAATGTTTGTATAGAAACCAGTTAATGTAAATATAACCGAATTAGATTTTTCACATATCATTTGACGTTACTTCAAAAATAATTTCCATTTCCCATCTTACAAACTCTATACACCCTGGACAGGTTGCCAGTCCATCACAACCATTCACACACACACAGAGCATTTTGAGAAGCCAATTAACCCAACAGTCATGTTTTTGGACAGTGGGAAGAAGCTGGAGTACCCAGAGAGAACCCATGCATGCTCAGGGAAAACATGCAATCTTCATGCAGAAAGATCCTGGGCCGGGATCTGAACCATGGGCGTAGGTTTGCATAGGGACCATAGGGACATGTCCCTACCAAAATTTTGAACCTAATTGTCCCTACCAATAATTGGATGTGAGCAACATGTTTATAATTTACAGCAGTAGTTGTTGCAGCAGTGGCTTCTTTTCCTCTCGCAGCTCCTCTGCCTGGTCTCTCCTGTCCCTTTCATGTAGCAGCGCATGGAACTGTGCTGCGCTGTTTAACTCCACTCTCATTGGTTGTTCTGCCTTAAGTTCCGCCTTCTCTCTCTCTGGTTGGCTGTTTTCTTTTAACAATGAATTCTTCTTATCAGTACGGATGCTCATATCGAGCATAATAAAGGGCACGCATATTGCATAGCACCAATGACACCAGACCAATAGTGTCCCTACCAAAGTTCAAATCAGACCTACGCCCTTGATCTGAACCCATAAACTTCTTGCTTGCAGGCAGCAGTGCTACCCACTGCGCCACTCTGTCATGGTCTGGGACTTTGACTTCATCACATGCTCTAACTGCATGCAAAGCGCAGTTCACATTTGACTTAAACAAAAAAATCACCTACAGGCCATGAATAAATATATACAAATTGAGAGAAATCAAAATCTTTGTTTTGGGTCCTTTCTACGTGTATTTAGTTCAGGTTGAATCAAACTTGATGTCACAAAATCCAAAAAGAATGAGTTTCACAATCAAATCAATAATTGTATCTAGTTTAGAGTGAAAAGCATTAGTTAGAATGAACAGCTACATGTTACACTTTTTTCCGTGTAGCCGAACTGATGGATAACAAAACTCAAATATCTATTGTTCTTCTCACAGATCAGCAACTTAAGGCTTATTAGAAATATAGTTTGCGGCCTCTCAGTGGAAATCTATATACTAAGTCAATCTTACTATGAATGTTGTTCTCAGGAGGCCTTGGAGGTTGGGGACATTCGTGAACTAACAGCAGCATAAAAAAAGGGAACACAGCAGACAGGAAAAACGTTTTTCTTTTTTTTAGATATTTTAAGCATGATTAGGGTTAAAAGTTTGTATAACAAACTCTACGTGCTGGCCTTCTCACACAGACCTACTCTAAAGAGAATCTCTACAAACCAACTAAGATATGAAAGTCCATCTATACTGGCTGGTTCGGACCAATAACTCTGAAGGGGCTGCAGAGATCCACTGCTCGGCTGGGACAATCTGTTGATAAATGTATTTGCCCCCCTTACATATTTTCCCCATTTTTGTTTTTATGAAGGATTTAAATGCAGCCTTATTAATAAACACATTACAACATTAGGCAAAGACAACCTGAGTGAATATGAAATCAATCTTAGATTGATGATATTACTAAAAAGAAAAATGCTATCCAAACCAACCTGAGGCTACATAAAAAGTATTCATAAAACCCTTTTGTATCAGCTTGTTGACAATGGCTGCCATCAGTGTTTGAAATAACAGGAACATGTTTTTGCCCTATCTTCAACGTCTCTAGATCCCTCCATCAACAGAGCATTTTTCCATGTTTTTTTTATTTTTTTTATGTATTATTATAAACATAAGATTGACCTTTGAATTCTTCTGGGTTGGTTTTATGTCTCATTAATTTGCTTGATGCCCTTCATCTTTTTATTGTTGTGTTATTGAAGGCTACCCTGAAGAAATGAGACCTTTTTCTGGCTTATTTTGTCACCATCTAGATGAGGCATGCCTGCTCTCTGGTGGTTTTAATACCCTGGTGTTTTTTGCAAACATTACTCATTGTTCAATGTTTCCTTTTTTTATTGGCGCTAACTCTCATTTTAGTTAGATTGATAGATATGAATGTTTTTCTTTTATAAGCCTCTTATGTTTTTTTATATTGTAATCTAAAGGTGTCATGTGTTACTTTTTCAAAATGTTATCCTTCTTTATGTTATCAGGCTGGCTCTATTCAAGGGATCTTATTAAACAGACATTTGAATCTAGATTTTATAATTACTCTGGTTATCTTTGTCTGGTTTAAGCAAAATGTGTTTGATGATCTGTAACATTTAAGTGTGATTAAGTAACCAAACAGGAGTTGAATTCTTTGTTTTTTGCAAAGCACAAAGTTGTTGCTAATGTAAAAAAATAATAATCTTATCATAGCTTAGGTTACTTAACCTAAAATATTTATTATTTCATGATTACAACTTTTTAACAAAAGAAAAATAAAATAAATTGGGGTGCGTTGATTATGACCAGCTAGCTTGATGTACCAAGTCTTTAGAACTATCTTGTCTTGTCAGTCAGGATAATTTATTTGCATTTTGACCAAAAACCTTATATGATTTTTTTGTCTGTTTCATATTGGGGATGTAAAGCAACTAATCCGGTGTGCTATCGAAGTTTTTTTTTTTTTTTTTTTTTTACTTTTTTTTTTAATGTTTGTTGTATTCTAAGGCTAGACTATTAGTTTGTGTTGACACTTGCTGTGTCCAATCAGAGTTTATTACGCCTATCTAACCACAGAAGCACAGTTTTTCTTTGATCTAAATTCAATTTAGTTAATAAATATTGTATTATTCCTAAAGGGAAATTGAAGATTTGGACATCACTTTGATTTAAACTGAAAACTAGAAACAGTATAGCTTTGTTTACGCTGGTATACTTTTTAATGAAATTGATTGTTAGGTTTATCATTCCTTCCCGAGGAAATCAGTGATTAAAACAAATCTAACTTGAAAATAACAATGTTATAAAATAACTGGAAATGCTTTTTAAATTCCCTGATACAATCAATGGGGGAAAAAAACGAGTCAAAAGAGTCTATTCCTTTTCTAGTGAGTCATCCCAAAGTCCCGGATCTCTGAAAGGAATCGGACGTCTCATCAGGAGCGGAGCGACCCCGCGTGGCCGCTGAGCTCAGAACGAGCCGTGTTGGAAAAATGGTTGCCAGCATACGAGTCCAAAAGCTGTTTCGACGGTATAAACTAGTGATTTCCGCCGCTTTAATGATCCTCCTGATCCAGGGACTTGTGGTTTGGAGTCTGAGGAGCTTGGAGGAAGGCCAGGCGGAGGTGAGAAACATGTTCCGTTAAAGTATTTTTGAATAAATGATTTTAATTTGGGTAGGATTAGCCGTTAGCGCGTAGCACAGCTCGATGTGTCATATTATACTGTAACGGTGGCTTATGTTAGCTGTTAGCTAAAACTGTCTAACTATAGCTGAACCAGCCACGTCTCTACGGCCATTCATCACACCCCCTAGAAAAGAGGAAGCAGTGCTGTTCCTCACGTTTATAACTGTACATGTCTGTCTCTCATCGTGAGAGCTGAATGATGAATTAACTTGACCATAAAGCAACAGTGATTGTTATCATGCTGTTATTTTTAGTCTTTTCATTAAAGAGAACTTAAGCAACGAAGGGAAACAGAAAAAATCGAGCCATCTAATGGGGAAGTCATTTATCTGTTAGTCTGCGCAACAATGAACAAAGACCCACTGATTGCAAGAAAACTGCATTCAGGGGCTCACAGATAGCTACTATAAAGCTGGAAGCTTCCATTATATCACTGGTTTAGATAAGTATGGTAAAGGAAACAAACTGGACTGTATTCTCTGACCATCTGTGTGAATGTTCCCATTAATTCACTTGGGATAACTACGGAAGAGGAGTAGGGCCACTGAATTTTTTTTAAAGTTAACTGATTTTTAAATTTTATTTCAGTTTGATATGGGAAAAAAGTCAGAATTCTGAGATTAAATCAGTATTCTGAGACTAAAGTCAGTGTTCTGTGATTGAAGTCAGTCTTCTGAGATTAAAGTCAGTATTCTGAGATTAGAGTCAGAATTCTGATACTAAAGTCAGAATTCTGAGACTGAAGTCAGTATTCTGGGTTTAAAGTCAGTATTCTGAGATTAAAGTCAGAATTCTGAGAAAAAAAGTTTGAATTCTGAGAAAAAAAGTCAGAATTCTGAGGAAAAAAAAAGTCAAAATTCTGAGAAAAAAAGTCCGAATTCTAAGAAAAAAGTCAGAATTCTGAGACTAAAGTCAGTGTTCTGAGATTGAAGTCAGTATTCTGGGTTTAAAGTCAGTCTTCTGAGGTTAAAGTCAGTCTTCTGAGGTTAAAGTCAGTCTTCTGAGGTTAAAGTCAGTCTTCTGAGATTAAAGTCAGAATTCTGAGAAAAAAAGTCCGAATTCTGAGATTAAAGTCAGTATTCTGAGATTAAAGTCAGTATTCTGAGATTAGAGTCAGAATTCTGATACTAAAGTCAGAATTCTGAGACTGAAGTCAGTATTCTGGGTTTAAAGTCAGTCTTCTGAGAAAAAAAGTCCGAATTCTGAGAAAAAAAGTCAGAATTCTGAGATTAAAGTCAGAATTCTGAGAAAAAAAGTTTGAATTCTGAGAAAAAAAGTCTGAATTCTAAGAAAAAAGTCAGAATTCTGAGGGACAAAAAAAATCTAAATTCTGAGAAAAAAAGTCCGAATTCTGAGAAAAAAGTCTGAATTCTGAGATAATTCAAACTTTTTTTCTGATATTATACTGAAATAAAAACTAAAAATCAGTTAACTTTTTTATTTTTTCAGTGGTCGTGATCCTCTTCCATAGATAACTGTATAACACATTTTTGGACGTATATATTTAAAAAAAAAAATGGATGAAAATGAACTAAAGACCTGATTTTTAGGGATCTGGAAGTGTGGAAGATTAGCGTGAAGAAATAGAAATAGATTAATCTAACTGTTATTTTGAGTTTATCTTAAAAATAGCTATTGGTGAAGGGAAATGTATGAATAAAAATGTTAAATGCAAAAAATAAGATAAAAAAGTGTTTTTAATTGAGTGTTATATGCAATTTAATTATTTATGTTCTAGAGTTTTGTCTTTATTACCTCTGTAAGTAGATTACTCTTTCAGCAAATGCCATCTTTTATAGTCCATTACTTTCGGGAACAATTTGAATCGATTACCAAGTTAGTTTAAGATTATTTTAATAATTGATTAATGCGATTGTTTTAGCCATAGTTGGATATTTACATATCAGCCCTAAAACCCAGGATGTTTCCTTATGTATTTTAGTTTATTTATTAGCAGAACTGAAAGCATTTAGAGTGCATGTACTTTGGAAATAAATGAAAATAATTATAAAAAAAAGTGCAGATGTTAAAGAGGTAACAGCCTGTTCAGTTGTGGCTCTGGAGCAACTTTTACTTAGAGCACTGGAGGCTTTGCAGGTTACTGTTTTCTTTTTCAAACCTGTAAAGTGAGGTTTCAACAGGTGTCATGCTGTACACAAATGTGAGAGGGACAGAATGCAAGTTGAAACTTGAGGATGTGATGATCTGACTAGATGTTGAAGGTGTAATATTCCTGCCAGCATGGAGGATACTTCAATGGCCCCTACCTTCACCTTCATGGTTTCCAGGCGGTGGTAGATGAACAGCCGCTTAAATAGGACAGAGTTGTAGGACCTGCTGGCAACAGACTTTCTGTGACTTCCAAGGAGATTATTGTTACAGATCGTTTCCGTTTAAACCCCTAATCTAATCAGTGAGCTCAGGGCTTAATTGGCAGGGGCCTGGCTCTTCTCCAATCAGTGTCATTTCTAGCATCTTAAATAAAGGCAGACATTCGTTTCAGTGTAAAAGGATTTAGGATTAATAGCTCATTACACTGCAGGGCTGAACCTTCAAGCTATGCTGCCTGATCAGTTGTTTTTCAGTTCTGTCCAGATAAATGTTTTGCTTTGTGCAGATAATCCAGTAGGTGGCCAAATGTGGTCTAGGAATAACGAAAACGGGTGGATGTAGGGCTTATTGTCCCGTTTTCCTGCAAAGGTTGATCAGTTTCTGAATAAGTATGGATTTTTAATAAGAAAACTTAAATCTTTGATTCATCCATCAATGTAAACCCCAGCTCAAAGCAAACAGAGCTCTCCTTAGAGTCAGACGTATATATATATATCCAGTGTGTTGGCAGACAGCTATGCAGATGTCAGCACAAAGGCTTTGTGCGTTTCCACCCTTAAAGATACAGAATCATGCCCGCATCCCAGAAAAAGCAGAACAATCATCACTGAAACAAACAGTCCCTTCTAACTCAACTCTCCCCATGTCATGCTGCTGTTCCTCGGAGCCATTACTTTCTGTGCACACGTGACCAAGATCACTCACATGCATTGCATTAAACCCCTTTGTGGTGGAGAAAGAAAAGGCCTGCCGAACAGCACCGCTCCCGCTCCAGCAGATGGTGACTCTGATACGGTTTCGCTCCACTTTTAATTGCCGTAATAAGAAGCCGTTGCCTCGCCTGCCTTTCAATCCATACATTTTTGACACAATGTTTTTAATTAAAAGATGTGAATGCCGGTTGATAAGGATAATTAAAACTTCAGCCACTTGCTATGGCTTACTCCATGGAAAATTTTTTCTCTCATAGCTGAAGAGGAAAGAGCTCCTGCAGAAATGTTTCTAACAAAAAAGACAAAGATGGAGGATGATGTACAAATTCTGGAAGTAGCATGTTTAAAAAACAGAAATCAGAATGTTTACCAGTTACCAAGTAAGAAATAGAAATAGTGCATAAGTTTGAAGTGGGAAGAAAATATTAATTGTTGTCAAAATGTCTAGAAATAAAAAAAAAAAAAAAAAAAAAACATGCACCTGAGAAGTTCTTTCAAATTAGGGCTGCAACTTTTATTTTGCTAATGTTGATTATTTTTTCGATTAATCAGTTAATAATCTGACAACCAAAGGTTTCTTAAAGAAGATTTTTTACTAAGTTAAACCAGGTGAAATTTTTACAATTTTAATATAATCACTGCTCTAAGTGGCCTATCAGATAACGGCATGTTTTACAGTCTCTATACTCCGTTTAATGATTAATCAATTTCTAAATTAGTTGACAATTATTTAAATAATTGATCCATCATAAATAATCTGATTTCTCTTTTAATCCTAGTGTAATTACCATGTAACAAAGCAGAGCTGTGGTGGCAGCATCATGCTGTGGGAGGACTTATCACATGGGGGCTAAACAAGCACATGCATGCACATTTAACCAATCACCTGTTTTATGAAATCCTTACTCATTATTCTGGTTTCGTTCTAATGAGATAAAACATAGAAAATATTTTTGCAAAGCTCTCTAACCTAAAATTTGAAAAATAATTTCTTCCCTCAATATATTAAGATGCAAACTGCTCTTTTTTATGTGATCCTTTCCCCCTAAACTATGAGGAAAGCTTTCTGTGGATTTGTTATTATCTACACTATACATCTTGTATTGTATCATAGCCAAACATTCCCAACACTTATAGGGTGTCTTAAGATAAAGCGTACTCACCTGGATATTACACGTTCAGGTATGTTAGGACTGTTTACAACCACGCAATGGTGGCTCAGGCTGAACTCTGCCAGCAGTAGCTGATGGTTCTGTATAGGCAGGCAGCTGGTTTATTGTTGGCTCTGGATCATCTGGCTTCTGATCCAACCACGGAGCCCCAATTCCCAGCATCTTCCCACAGCCTGCATGCCAGCAGTGAGGCCAGCGAGGCGGCATCCTACCATACTGGTTTAAAGCGGCTGAAAGCTTTCCGCCAACTCATTTCTGTTTTCTTTCTTTCTTTTTTTTTATGTCAATATTTTAAAAACCTAATGTAATGTGCCAGAACTGTGATGCTGCTTGGCTACAACATTTAAAAATAGCCTAATTCATGCTTTTCTTTTTCTTGTCCTCTAAAAGGACACCTTGCTTTGTACTCCTGATAAACAAATCCTTTTATTGTTCCTGTAAACAAAGTTTTCCCAGTGCTAAATGAAGCCTCGATACACGTTAGACCAGGTCCTAATTGGTCTTCATCACATCGGAACCAAAATGGAAACTTTAAACCCTAATTTAAATTCATTTTAAGCAGATTAGGTCTAATTGACACATACAGCTCCTTCACTCTGGTCAATGCTGTACTAAAGTAATCCAAAAACCCCTGTTTGTTTGCGTGTTCATGTTGCAAACACCCGACCCAGATTTACATGTATGTGTAGTTTGGCTGCAAAACAGAGGAAACTGGGGATTGTTGCAGTCCGCATGGTGAATCACTGGATTGTTTCAGAACATGTGTGACTCCAGTTTGTCAGATTAGTTCCAGAAAAAGGCAGAGACTCCGCTATAAATAGCCACAGATGAGAGAACTGGGAAGAAATCACAAGTAAACACATCCATCCCTCTGGGGCTTTGTGCTGATTCCCAAGAAGCCATCTTTGTTTACCTTATGCCTTTCAGAATATTAATAAACCTCTCTGCTCTTTAACATTAATCCATGATGTTTATGGAATGGCTGCCAATAAAACAGGATTACACGTTTGTGTTTGTTCTGGTTTCATTCTGCAGGGAAAAACAAGAAGATCCAAGCTGCCTGACTCCAACAGCCAGGACTCCAAGAGGGACAAAGCAAATTCTTTGTCCGGACAGAACCGGGGCAGATGGAGCGCCAGGCTGGAGAGGCAGAGGGGAACAGCAGCCGTTCCACAGAGGAAAGGAAGCAGCCGCCGTGCTGGAAAGCCCAGCGCCAGACAAAAGACCCCTCAGGAGAGGGGGGTGGCGGCGGGCGGGTTAGACGGTGTGGTGTCTCACGATCTGTCCAGCAGCCGCAATTTTAGCCTGGAGGGAGCAGGGAAGTTACAAGCTGTCGGGATACCCGGGGAGCCAGGCAGTGTGGACGGCGCCCACCAAGCCCCCAACAGTGACTTTATGCCTAAGTGTGAGATCATAGGCAAGGATGCGCTGTCAGCGCTGCACCGGGCCGCGTCGCAGCAGTGCAGGCAGGAGATCGCTGGCATCGTGTGCCAACATCAGGCAGGACAACTCATGCCAGAGGCGCTCCCTCAGTTCTGCCCCCAATACGGTGAGGAGGCTTGAAGTCGCATTTATACGGGGAGTCACAACCACAAGATTTAGAGTATTTTAGTGTCATTTAATTGGACTGCAAATTAAAGGAAAGTTATGTGTAGCTTATAATTCTTACAAAAGTAACATTTGGATTCGGGCCAACTGTCAATTTTTATAGAAGCAGGTTTTTACTCTGTTTTCTATGGGCAGGTGTGACGCAGCCGGACAAGGCCGCTGGGGAAGTGGAGCTAAGCCTTTCCAAGGTGGAGAACCCTGTCAGGGTGGCGTTTGTGCTGATGGTCCACGGCCGAGCCGTACGGCAGCTCCAGCGGCTAATCAAGGCCATATACCACAGAGATCACTACTACTACATCCACGTAGATAAGGTATGCACAGCAACCATCGTATTCACAGGCTTAAATAATAAGTCAGAAGTGCTTTAACCTTGTTATACCCAAAGGGAGTCAGCCTGAATCTTGCTCTTTTTCATATTTTTAAGGAATTAGATTTTTGGTGTTTCAAAGGAAAGAAGAGGATATTTTTGGTTGCCTGTTTAGCTGGGATGCCAGAAACCAGTTTAGGTTCCAAAAGGCAGGACTTGTTGTAGCTGGACACCGGGTCAGTTCCTCTGTTCTGCTGCCAAAGAATAGCGAAGCAGCTCTATGAACACAGCAGTGAGCTATAAGTACAGTCATGGCTCAGTCTTGATTATCTCTGTGAAAATCCCAGTTTGAGCTAAATGGGTCAGGTTGCATTAGAGTCTCCTGCACTTCTACGTCATCCAGCCTCTAATAATCTTGTGTGCGACTAAAGACTCCGATTGGGTTATTTTACCCTTTTCCTTTTATCGTCTCGTTTCTAAGCACCAGTATGAGGCACTTTGACAATAATTTTCTATGTGTAAAAGTTTGTTTCTCTTTCTACCTGGGGCGGTTTCTCAGGGCAGATTGATCACACAACATTTTTCCTTCTCTCTCAACAAATGTTATGTTCCAGGAGAATCCATTTCAAGGCGTGTTTCCCTTAAACTGCTCATTTATCACTTCAGAATTTTTCAGTTTCCTTTTTTTTTTTTTTAAATAAGCTCCTTTTAATGAATTTAATTAATCTTGAAGGACAAAATGAGAGCCTTTTTCTCCCATTTGGAGCCAACAGTATTGGCTGCTTGCAAGTATCTGACACTAACAGGACTAAAGCAGGCTCATTCTTAGGTTTAATTTAGATTAAAAGCAATAATTATTTCCCATCATGCTACAAAGCTCTGTGCTGTTGTTTTTTTTTCTTGTGGTCAAATGCCAAATCTTTAACACTAGGACTCCCAGAATTCTGATCCTACTAGAACTCCCACTGGCCCTCAATTTGACGGCTGACATTTTTCCGGAAGGCATGGGTAGTGATGATGTCATCAACTGAAATGGTTCTAGTGTGTGTATAAACTCATTGTGGATATGTAGACCTTATATCAGGTCTAACAAATATATTTTAAAGGCTGTATTGTATGCTATTATTATCTGGGGTCTAAATTTGTCTAAAAAAATAAATCAGTAAAATAAATTAGTCTGTTTTACCACACAGGTTCGAAGTTTAAAAATACAAATTTATTTACAGAAATTCATTATCTGAATGTATTTTCCCCTGACAACCTTTTTACATTTGTGACAAACATCATATGATCCGTTTTTTTGTGCAGCGCTGAAGCACCTTGCGCTGTTTTCTTTGCCTCTCCAAAGCTGCTCTTCAGCGACGGTGGGGCTGAAAACCTGCGGATGCATGTGGTCGGCACGCCAACCTGTGTGTGAATATAGTAGGCCCCGGGCTCTGGTTTGGCTTTTGGGCCGCTGAGTGTACCGGCTGAGGTGTGGGCAGTGCTATCCTAAACTTGATCTAAAGTTTCCCTATTGTCTGATGGGTCACTGATGCGATCTTCCTCGCGCTCTCTGTCACAATCTCAGCCGCTTCCTACACAGTCCTCCTCATCGGTCTGTCCCTCTCCACCTGAATAACTATCATCAATATTTTGAAGCATTTCTAAAGCCTTAGATTTCTTCCGAAAGCCATTTTTCTGTATTAGCCAAAGAGTTCCAGGTAGAATGTTGGTTGCTAGGCAACGGTACAGACTGTCAATCAACAGTGGGAAGAATTTACAATGCAACTAATAGAGCCGTCAAAATGACGGCTGTGGGAGATCAGGGTAGAATTAAACATATTTATTTTTTACGTTTTTATTTTATTAAAAAAACTAAGTGAAAATGAAGGAAATATAGAAACAGGAAAAGTCAGATAACATGAGAAACATATGATTAATGTAAATAAAGTTATTTCCCTTTACAATCTCAGAACCGTCAAAATGACGGCTGTGGGAGTTCTAGTGTTGAAGCAATTGTGTCTGATCTGATACGTCCCCTGCAGCGGTCCAGCTACATGCATCGGGAGGTGCTGCAGATAGCTGAGCGATACCCGAACGTCCGCCCCACACCCTGGCGAATGGTCACCATCTGGGGGGGAGCCAGTCTCCTGAAAGCCTATCTGAGAAGCATGCAGGACCTGCTCGCCATGAAGGAGTGGAAATGGGACTTTTTCATCAACCTCAGCGCCACAGACTTTCCAACCAGGTCAGCTACATGTAGATAAATAGATGAAGCGGGGACAGTATGACCCTGAATAAGAACACCACCATGTCTCTTTTTGCATACAGAATGATATTTATCAAGCTTTTATTTTGGTTAAACTAGACCATGGCTTACAGCTAATGAAAACACCCTGTGAGTTCTCAGTAAACCATAGTTTGGCCTAATATTAAGATGGTTTTTAACACAGAAACACAACCTGTATCCTGTACTGCACAGTACCACAGCGATCAATACTTGGTTCAGGCTCCTTTTCTGCAGCGCTTATTAAAGTGGTGGTTTTTGCTGTGTGGGCTGATGCCGAGTCCTGCTAGAAAAGGAAAGCAGCAAAGCTTAGCAGAGAGAAGAATGAAGTGCTGTACAATTTTCTACTAGACAACTATTCCAACTTTGGAGCAAACCCAGAGGATGAAACAGCACCGCAAAGCCTCTCATGGAGCTTTGATTTCTAAATGAAATGCAAAGTTTTATCTGAGAACACAACGTTGGACCATTAAAGCCCCCAGATACTCCTGAATATTCTTTGTTTTACAATCATCTCTGCAATTATCCCTGTCCTTTTTAGAACCAAACCGTTTCCTCCCACTTAGCTTTGCATTAATTGATGTGGTTACAGCCTCTGAATAACCAGTGTCCACATCAAGGACCTTTTATAGCAAACTGTTACTATATGGTGGTGATTACTTTCTACTGGATGGTTGTCAAATCAGGAGTGTTTCTCGGAATATCCTGTTTATTTAGTTTTTATTAGCTGTAACCAATCAATAACTCTGTGTACAGAATTGATACCTGGGTTTCACTTTATAGAAATGAATAACCTGTTCTACATTTTATGTTATTGACACTCAAATGTAGACATCGGATACATCTGATAGATTCAGCATCATAGCAGGATGTCTTTCTGATCTGTGGAGTATGAATTATAGGCAAATATGAAACTTAACACAAAAAAAAATCTTATCTTTGTTGTTTTGCAGACTAAACATGAAAGGAATTTAATTTATATCACTTCTTTTGATATTTTGGGTTCTTAATCATCACTAGCAGCTTTAGAAGGTGGCTGCTGTGGCATTTCGCCTGATGGAAACATGAGTTTGTTTGCAGCATTTAAGCTAATAACATTTTCTGGTCACTTAGTCACAGAGCTGACAGTAAACAGTGTCCAGCTGGGTTTCTGGCGCAGCGCTGAGTCCCAATCAACAGGCCCACCTTAACTTTCCTCTGGGGGATTTACTCACATCTCTCCGATAATGAGAGATGAGCCGGAATGTTCTAAATACTTTCAGAAGTAGCTGTTAGGATATAAAGGCAGTCCATTATTCAGTGAAATCTCCAGCGCTTTGTTTTTCTGGCTCGTTGGAACCTGCTCTGACTGTGATACCTTCATGCAGGACCAACGATGAACTGGTGACGTTTCTGTCAATGCACAGAGACAAAAACTTCCTCAAGTCCCACGGGAGAGAGAACGCAAGGTGAGCATTTTCAGACACATGGCCAGCTAATGCTCACAGTTTTACTTCAGTGCAACGCTGATCTGTGCCTTTTGTCAAAGGTTTATCAAGAAGCAAGGCCTGGACCGCCTTTTCCACGAATGCGACAACCACATGTGGCGTCTCGGTGAGCGCACCATTCCAGAAGGCGTGGAAGTGTCCGGTGGCTCCGACTGGTTCGCTCTCACCCGCCGTTTCGTGGACTACGTCGTCAGCTCCCGGGATGAGCTAGTGCTGGGTCTGAAGCAGTTCTATTCCTACACCCTGCTCCCCGCTGAGGTAGGAGAGCCCTCCCAGTTCTTCTTATCTTCTGTAGCCGAGGCTCACAGTGTGATGATGTACTCAGGCTCATCCTCCCCTGCCAAGTCAGAGGAGCCTAGCGGCTGAGATAATATAAGACTTTAAGCTACGCAGCAGTTTGAAGCAGCCTTTGCCACATGAAAGGAAGGTTCTTCATATTTTATTGTAAATATATTGAGTCCTAGAGGAGGAAAAAGTGTCCAGGTTTGACCTTTTCTTCTTCAGATTGTTTATGTTCACTCAGCCTTTCTTTGTTCCTAGTCTTTTTTCCACACTGTGCTCGGGAACAGTCACATGTGTGACACCCTGGTGGACAACAACCTGCGCGTCACCAACTGGAACCGCAAGCTGGGCTGTAAATGTCAGTACAAACACATTGTGGATTGGTGTGGCTGCTCCCCCAATGACTTCAAACCACAAGACCTCGTACGGATACAGGTGAGTTCACCACAAGAGGGCAGCGTTTCATCCATCTGGGTGCCTTGGAAAAGTGTTCATACTCCTTCGATTCTTTGGTAACATTTTCATAAAAGCCAGATTGTTCAGCTGTCTTCAGGAATGCAGAGATACGGTTCATGGGTGAGAATCTGATAACAAAACGATGATTCTTGCTTTTATGAAAGAGAATCAAGAAAAAGCTTTGGATGAAGGAAGCTATTTGAAATCATGTGTGCAGTTAGCCATGTAGGTCACAGCGGGAGAGCATTGGAGACGGGGCTGCATTCAGAGACCAAAAGCACAAGTTTTTTTGTTTAGGCAGCATCATGCTGTGGGGAGAATCAATCTGTAAAATATGAAACTTCTCAATATTTTACCCCTGTTGGATCCATTTCAAACGTTCAAGTAACTTTGCAATTTTATTTCTTTTTTTTTTTTTAGCAATTGACTCGGCCAACGTTTTTTGCCCGGAAGTTTGAGTCGACGGTGAACCAGGAGGCCATAGACATCCTGGACACGCACCTGTATGGCCAGTATGCTCCAGGAACCGTCGCCATTAAGGCTTACTGGGAGAGCGTGTTTGAGCAGCTGGACGGCCTGGGCTCCATCAGTGACGTGGCTCTCACAGCTTACACCTCCTTCTTTCGTCTAACCCTGAAGAGTCTGACCTCTCAGAGCAAGACGGACGTCTGCAGGTAGGTCTTCTGGTATTTCGTTGTACAGGTGCACTGAAAACGAGTAGAATATCTCAAAAAAGCTACATACATTGAGTCTTTTTTTCTGTAATTGTGATAAATATGACAATACCCAGAATTGAGTTCATTCAGAGGTCAGTAGCTTTGGCAGTATAAGGAGAAACCAAGTAAAGCTTAAAGCTTAAAGTTCTGTAAAATCTCTGGATAGATGGATGGATCAAATGTGGGTTTTGGGAAAAACAGTGGACCAATACCACCAGATAAAAAGTCTAAAGCCTATCTGACTGTGGAAACTTCACATGATTCCTTCACTTCACAATAAAGAGCAAACATTCTGAGTAAACGTCCAGCCTCTGGATCAGTTCTCTTAAGTCAGCAGTTATCCATGTTACTGGTGCATCTTCTTCTAAAATACTTTTTCCTTCCACTCAAATTTCTATGTATGTGGTTGAATACAGCCCTCTGTGAACAACCAGCTTGTGTAGCTGTAGCATTTGTGGCTTCCCCTCCATGTATATAAGGTCAGTGACCTTCCTCTGGATTTCAGTCTAGTGAGCCCGTGTTTATAAATCTGGCTTTTATTCTGAAATCTGGATCGACAGACTGTTTGAAATCCGATCAAAGCGTGTGGAGGTGTCGGGGTCAGGAGACTTTTGCAGGCTTTCAGTTATCATGTGTTTGTAATATAGATTTTATTTCTTAAATAAATAAGAAAAAGAATGAACTGTTTAGTGACATTCACATTTTGTGTTAACTGGATGTTAAATTGACCTTTTTTCCTTTATCTGCTTTGTTTAAAAGGTTTGAGCCGGTCGGCCATCCTCTGTCCGTTCATTTGTACTTCTATGATGACCGTTTCCAAGGCTACCTGGTTCGTCAGGAGGTCCGCACCGTGGAGTCAAAGGACAGGGAGACCCTGGAGCTGTGGGCCATGCCTCAGGCCACGCTCGTCTTTGAGACAAACCTCAAAGAGTTTGAGAGGCTGAAGAACCTGGAAGTAAGAATTCACTCATTAAGTATCAATAACATTTTAACAGAAACTTCTGTAAAAGTAGGTTCTGTATTTAGGTGTTATAATATTTTATTAATATGATAAATATGTCACTACCTTTTCTTTACAAGTGAACTTTTTCCTCAACAGATCGGGACGAACTGGGATCCTAAGGAAAGGATCTTCCGTAACTTTGGCGGCCTCATCGGCCCTCTAGATGAGCCGCTAGCGGTCCAGAAGTGGGCCCGTGGTCCCAACCTCACAGCCACTATAGTTTGGATCGACCCGGCTCAGGTGGTGGCAGCATCCTATGACATCACAGTGGAGATGGATGCAGAGTACACTCAGTACAAACCGCCTCTACAGCACCCCCTACGGCCGGGCACCTGGACGGTGCGGGTGCTGAAGCAGTGGAAGCGCGTGGCCGAGGTCCGCTTCCTCGTAATGCCTCTTACCTTTAATAATAAAGAGCCGCTGCGCAGAGGTAGGTTCTGGATCTTTCTGTCTTGATATGGAACGGAATTGGAAAGACAATTATTGGGGATTTATTTATTTTTTCTGTTTTCCTTTTAAAGGAGATTTGAAAAGTTTGGGCTAAAATAGCAAAGACAAAAGCAAGCCACACTTTCCAGATTTTATTTTGTCTGCAGAGACCAGCTGCTAAAATTATTTATTTAGATGTTTTGGTCTAATTTTTTTAGGAAAATATCAGGAGTGAAAAATGTAAAGCGGAGCTAAGTTTGAGGAGTTTAGAGACTCACTTCATCTTCTGATGTTTCTGTTCCAGAGGAGGACATCTGGCTCCATTCAGGCCCTCCTGGGAACCTGTACTTGGATCAGAGCTTCCAGCAGCTGAGTTCGGTGCTGAAGCTGCCTCCTCAGGAGCCGGCCATGCAGGCGGCGCAGCGTGCCGCTCAGCTGGTGGGCCGGCCCCTGGAAGCGTGGGTGGACAGCCTGGTGGGGACTTTCTGGGTCATAGGTGACCTTTGCTCCACAAGGACCTCCTCCTGCCCAGCTGTAGGGCTTTGCTCAAAAACTACCTGGAGCTCTCTTTCTCCAGATCCAAAGTCTGAACTGGGCCCAGTGAAAAGCGACGGGCGGATCAGGTAGCCCTAGGAGAAGAGACTAGCCAGACTTTTAATATGCACAGAATCACTGCTGGAAGAGCCTGAGGGACTCCATATTGTCTGAGAGATCAGCAGTCAGCTGATGGGCACATAATCCATGATCCTCCTTCACTGAGGAGCTGCTGTTACTTCAGACAAACCAGGAGAGGACTGCGGGAAATTTGCACATCGACTGCAAGCGCAAACAAAAAAATATCACTTTTATGTGAACGGGTACATGACCACCATGTTGAGGTATTGTTGCACAGATTTTCAGTCCTGCAGTCGTCTCAGTGGAAATGTAAGAATCCTGCATGCAAAACAACAGCTCTGCTCAATCTTCATTACAAGGGAGAGAATCACCTCTGGATCTTATTAATGTGCTTATTTTAAAGCATTACAAGAGAGACGCATGAAGTGCACTTTACTGCAAGATGATGTTGTTACAGAGTTCCCTTGGTTACAGTGTGGAGCCCAGGGACAAATGTCTTTATATGTCACTTTTCTTGCACCAGGACATCGCTAAGTTTAGGAAAAGGTTAGAACAAATTACCTACATTATGTTGCTTTCAAAACTATTCACTCCCCTTCGACTTTTTGTGTTGCAACCACAACCTTCCAAGTGTCTGATTTCTGCACAACAAACCAGCATCAAATGGTGCACGGTCGACAGAAATCCTCATTGGAAATCTTTGTGGTTTTAACACGAAAAAATGAATGATGAAAACCTTAATAGGTATGAATACTTTTGTGAGGCACGTTGTCATTTTTATGGGGGGGGGGGAATCATATTTTTAAAGCGTTTTTAACTAAATATCAGCTAGTTTTGAGTAGTTTTTACATTTTTTTTTCTGTACCAGTTCAATGAAGTGTTTTAAGATGGCAGAAATAGGAAAGGAAAAAAGGTTTTATTGTGGCAGGAAAGGATTGATTTTAGCTCATCTTTTGCTCGTTTTTTAAAGTAAAACCAACACATTCTGTTTTAGTTTTGGTGGAAATAAATCTAAGGATTTCATATTGTCAGATTGTTAGATTTGTTTCCTTTTCAGCTGATCAGGCTTAATATCAGCGGAGTCCTTTTCCATTAAATGGAAGCATTGAAGCTGCAGCTCGTCATACCTCTCCATTATCTCTGCACACGCTGTGTTGTCATGCCTGTTAAGGCTTTATGCTTTCGTTTCAGTTCTCCTGCTTTTGCATTTCAGTATTTTTATAAACTGTCTGTATGTTAGGCTTTTTATGATGCTTATTTTAGTTTGAAGAGGAGAATCTAAGCTGCCTCCCTGTGGAAAAAGGTGACGTTTACTACATAGCTTGCAGAGTTTTGTCTTATTTAGACTTTTTAAGTTTTTTGTTCTGAAATAACATGTACAGTTTTAAGTGTCCTTGTTTAGCTGGCAAAGCACAGTTGCTTCAGTGAAGCCCCAGTTTTATTGAGAGAATAAGGATCAATGGGTCTTAATTAGCAAATGTTATTTTTCTATCTTATCGGAGAGAAGCTGAACACTGTCTGTTGAAGCTGCTCCCTAAATGTGTTAAATTTGACAGTCCACCTGTTCAGTGTCAAATAGAGCAGCTCCTCTGGGTTTTGGGAGGTTGAGATCTCCATCCATGCTGTTGTGATAGTCAGGAGCAGCCCGGGTGGTGACTCATCCTCGGTTCCATCGCTCCTATCTGTGGGGAGCCGGATTCTGTCACTGCTTGAGGAGAAGATCATATAAGAAGCTTTCTGACTGAAAACTCATTAAAGAGATGGCCCTATTCAAGCTTTTGTTGTTATTTTTGTCTTTAAGTACTTATTTTTCAGACTGTTAATTGTAACATTTAATGTGTCCTATTGAATATGCAAATATAACAAAAGGTACCTTTAATTTTTATGGGAATTTGATATAATAGAGAAGAAAGCGCATCCATTCTGGTAATCTTTCTATTAGTAGCAGTGGGGTTTGTCTGGACCTGCAACATTTACTGAGCAGCTGGATAATATTCATTGTTTTTTCTGCATGTTTTCACACCTGTTAAATACATTGCACATTTAGAGACGGATGTTTTGCACATCTCTATTAAAATAGCTCTAGCAACGACATGTGGACCTCAGAATCTCCAAATGTTCTTCCTGAATTTCCCTGCTTTTAGCTTCATCCATCTTCCCATCAGCACTGACCAGATTCTGTGCCTCTGCTGAAAGAAGAACATCTCAACAACCTCAGCATGATGCAGCCACTACCATATGTTGGGGATCATGTGCTCATATTTATGAAATTTCTCTTTTTGCTGTGCCCGCTTTATGGCCTTATTAAACTTTTACTGTGACTATTTTTTTTTTTGTAAAGGTAGAGACTAATAGTTGTCTTGGTAACAGCCTCCCAAACCAGAGCTATGGACCTCCTCAGCTCCTCCAGACTATGGAGGGTCACCCACATGGACTTGACTAATTTTGATGTCTAAAGGTATTTTTATTTATTTATTGGCATCACAGTAAATATGGCTGCATTTAAAAATAGAAGTTCTCAAAGTTTACTTCCTTCATAAATACTTTAAGCAGCATTTTCCCTTAAACTCATCCAGATGAATATTTGAAGTGTTTGCCTAAGTGCGCAGTTAAAGGCAGTTTTCCACCTTGTAATAGAGGGAACCTGCAGAGAAGGAGGGCCAAGTCTTCTGAAAGGAGGTTTTAAACTTGGTTCACAGAAAGTTGAGGATTATGGGTTCTGGTCTGGCTAACCTGCTCCTTTTAGATAAACTGCAGTGAATCATTTCTATGAAGCAGATGTTTGTGGTCATCATATCAGGATCATCTGTGATTGAGATGGAGGACATTCAGACGCTCCCATCTGATGCTTTTCCCAACAACCAACTGCTAATTCATAAGGTAAGGAATTAATACTGGCTGCTTTTACCTGTCAAATCCTAATTAATAATTTATTAAAGCTAAAAGCTAATGAACTGTTTTCAGTTCTTAACACTAGATGTCTAATTTTTAAAATCAAATTAATGCTGATCATGTCTGCATATATTTAATGTCAACATCTAATGAATATCATATTGCTGTCGGCAAACGGTTTGGCTCTAACCCTCCTCTGAGTCTTTGCAGCCGTTGTCACAGTAAGATGATTTCTCTGCTTGACGTTCGCTCCCATCAACAGATTGTTGCTTTTATTGCTGCAGCAGCAGCTATTCTAGCAGCCCCAGCTAACAGGATTAGCGGATATCTGAGATTGTAATTACTGGATGTTGAAACAAGCATTACCTCGTTGGGAGCCGGGATCGAGCTCCTGCCTCTTGGCTGATTAAATCTGAGCTTGTATTTGTGGCTTTACACGGTCAGACTCTGTCAGAAACAACAAAAGGCGCAACTCTGCTTTCTTTTTACCATTTGCTGGCAGCTGGTCAATAACTTTCTGCAGCTAGTGCAATAGCAGAGAGATTCAGGGTCTGAAATATCCTGAAGGTAAATGATGGTTTAATGCCATATTCACAGTGAAACATGGTAGTGGTGGCATCATGCTGTGGGGCCAGGCTTCCCATAAATTTGTACTTCAAAAGCCACACCTTGAAGATCCGTTTGGACTCTGTTTATCGGTGCATATAGGGGGGAATAAATGATGAAACGTCGAGAGCATCAGCGAGGATACATGATCATCTGATCTGATCATTCTTATCAGAGCTAACCCCCTACACACCCTCATCCATGGATACTTCTTGCATCTCTTGCTTTGCTCCATCATCATAATGTCAACATGGTAGAAATCAAATGTATGAGAAGAAGCAACCCCCCCTCCCTCTGAGTCATCAGCATCTCCTCCAGTCTGCATCATTTCCTCTAAAGGTAGACGTTTTGCCTGCAGCTCCTTGCACTGTTGATGGTCATCATTAGCAGCAGGCTGTCTCTGCAATCCCTTCAATTCTCCGTGTTTCATTCATGATTAAAAATCTGTATTCCACAAGAAATATGGAAAGATTTAATAATTTCTTAATTTTCCATAAATGGTGTTAAATCATGTTCAACAGGAAAGAAAGATTAACAAGGTGAAATAATCAGGTTGCCCAAGTTTATGTTTCTGGCATTTGCCCCATCCTGACTACACATTTCAGGTCAGTCTTCGGAGTTTCACATAGTTTATATCACAGCTTTGCTGTTTTTTATTCAGACAGTAAATAAAGTGTCAAGGTATTTGCAGCAAAAAGTCCCTTTTTTTTACACTACAACACCAGACAGTCTTCAGAGCTTCTCAGACATTGAGAGCCATTGAAGAGTCATGCGGAGGTTTTGCATGGTTATGCATCTGCTTGTTGACATTTTGCATGACGGTTTCAGACCTCATGGTGTTAATTATCCAGTTAATGTGGAGATTTTTCAAATTCTGCTCTCTGCTGTGTTTTTTTTTTTTGTACTTTTGTAGTTCACTTTTGTTTCCAGCTGTTTATTTTTTGAATATTCTATGCACACGTGCAAGCAGTGAAGCAAGCAAAAAAAATCCCATGAACTGAATAAACACTTATTTTTCATTTATGCATCTGTTCAAACCATCCCCAAGTTGTGAGTTTAATGGAACATTGAAGCTGATGTTTTTTTCATGCATGCCAGCGATTCAAGTGAGCATCTAAGAAGCAGTAGTGCCATGCATGCTGTTTCCACTGTGCATGGGTGCTGGTAGACCAGAGATAAGGAGAGGAAGATTCAGGCCCGCTGGATGAGGAGTAAAAAGAGAGAGAGAGGTGCTGTGGCTTTAAGGTGATAAATTTCCACAATAGAAGTAAACATCTGCTGCCAAGTAGCTCTATTGGTCCTCCAACTCTCAAGAGGAAGGCAATAACCAGCAATAAGCAGGTCAGCTGCTGCCCACATCCGGACCAGAGGTTTCAAATCTGCAGACCACTTAATGTGTTTAAGGTTGGCTTTTACGGCAAAGTGGTGGAGGAAGAACTCAGATTCATTACGGATTTTGATTGAAAAGAAGGGAACATTAGCCTTGCATTAAATAAGCGCCAATATTCAGCTCATTTTAAAGCATACTTTGCTTAAAGGCACAATTTTTTTATTTTAAACACTGGCTATTGTAAAAGCATCCAAGCCTTATTTACTAAATGGATAAAATATAAATGTTTCAAGTTGGAAAAATAGCTTTTGCAAGTGATGTCCATTTATCTGAAATCAGAAATGTTTACACACACACAGTGGGGAGGAAATCTAACATCAAACCTCTGACCCTCTGATTGCCAGATGGCTTCCGCTTCCGCTGAGCAAAGCTTTAATATGAAAGGCGTATACAAAACAGGCTGTGGTTATGAAGCAAAAAGAAAAAAAATGTTTGCACCATCTTAGAACCACCTTTTGATGTTATCAGCTGAGTTTCTGCCAGCTCTTTAAAACAACAGAATAACATTTTTACCAGTCCTTCTAATCAAAATATCCTTAAACTCATGTTGCTGCCAAGGTGAAGCATAATCATGCATAATGCTAGAATCACCGTGCCAAGATCATAGGTTTGATCTCAACTTTGGTAGGGACACTATTGGTCTTAAGTGGAATTGGTCTGATGCCATTGGTCCTATGCATTATGCATGCTCTTATTTTTATTTTTTTTAAGCTAGCATCGGGGAGCATTTCGTTTAAAGAGAAAACAGCATTTTTTGCTACATTTATACAAATGTTATAAGCATTACACACACAAGATGCTGTTTATCAATGTTTGAAGCATCAGTGGCTCGGAATAATGTAAAATTGGGACGACTAAACACTTTGAAAAGGGTAACTTTTAAACTTACCAGTGTCCAAGACTGAAGGTAAATATGTGCCTTTTTAAAATATTGTATCTGTATTTATCCAATGTTTCCTTTTGAAGAATTAGAATTGTGCAGAGGTAAACAGAGGTAAAACCCACTCTTATTTATTTTTTTTAATCTGATATGCTGATATTCTCTTTATTGTTAAACAAAGCAAATAACATATTCAAGGGACTGCAAATAGATTTATTGTAGTTACATAGGCACGGGAACTATAAGAGGAACTGTCACAGAGCATTTAAAATATTGACTTCAATATACAAGTTGTAAGAAAAGAAGCGACTGCTGCAACAACGCTGTATTGTAAGTTATAAACATGTTGTTCACATAGAATTATTGGTAGTAACAAGTAGGTCAGGCCAAAATTTTGGTCGGGACATGTCCCCATGGGTCCTCTGCAAACCTACACCGATGCACTGTGCTGCATTGTGGGTATGATGAGTTCAGGAGGATGAGAAGTGGCATTTTTTTTCTATCCCATGCATCATTTCCATCAGCTTAGGGGAGAGCAGGACTAATTCCCTCACATGAGCTCTAACTCCCTCCAGCTCCTCCAGAGTTACCATTGGGCCTCTACCATCTGAGACATTTTACCCGTATAGACTGTGCTTGGGTTTCCAGTGACTGCTTTAGCTTGATTTCATTTAGTATAATCAGCATAAAGGAGGCTGATAGCAGAACTGTACTTTAGAGATTTTATCTCTAAACTTTGTGTTCATGTGTCACATTAAATCCCAATAGAATACTGTTAATATAGAAGTTATGTCCCCCTGAAGGCAGCTGCGTCTAGGAACTTCCCTTCCGGTTCTTTTCCTGGGAGCAATTATTTACTACTCTTAACTCAAACTGGGTAAAACCATATAAAAAAGGACTATAAAAACAGGAGTAAAACAAAGTAACAGCGTTTATTCCAGTTCAGGTCGTTACAGGACAGAGAAATGGCTTGGAGTCATAACAACATTAAAAAGTTTTTTCATGA